GTATTGCTGAAGCCTGGCTTGGAGAATTTTGAGCATTACTTTACTAGCATGTGAGATGAGTGCAACTGTGCAGTAGTTTGAGCATTCTTTGGCATTGCCTTTCTTTGGGATTGGAATGAAATCTGACCTTTTCCAGTCCTGTGGCCACTGCTGAGTTTTCCAAATGTGCTGGAATATTGAGTGCAGCACTTTCACAGCATCATCTTTAAGGATATGAAATAGCTCAATTGGAATTCCATCACCTTCACTAACTTCATTGGTAGTGATGCTTCCCTAAGGCCCACTTGACTTCACATTCCAGAATGTCTGGCTCTAGGTGAGTGATCACACCACGGTGATTATCTGGGTCATGAAGATCTTTTTGTGCAGAGGATAAGATGGTGGAAAAGCAGACATGGTTTCTGCCTTTATGGGATTTATAGTTGGTGGGAGAGACAGGCACCAACTGAGGGAACACATAGATAAATGCGATGGTTACCAGTTGCAGTAAGGACTATGAGGAAAATAGAAGGGCTGAGATAGGATATTAGGCTGTGTTCTGCCTAGGGGCAGCTGTTGAGCTCTGGCCAGCTCTCGGCCCTTGCCCACTTTTTCCCTCACAGTTATGACTTGTCACCTTCCTCTGTGACATTGGCTCTGTGTGTTGAGCCAGCTGCCAGGGCACCTTCCTGGCTGCAGGCAGGAAAGATTTGAGGTCTCTGGGGCAATCCTCTGGGACTCTGACTCCAGGTTAGTTCTCAACTTTGAGCCCCAGACCTATTCCTATGTCAGAGATTCTGTCCTTAAAAAGAATTCCTATATGTTTTGTTTTGTTTTGTTAATTTTTCATTTTCATTTTTTTTTTTTTTGCCTTTTCTTTTTTTTTTTTCCATTTATTTTTATTAGTTGGAGGCTAATTACTTTACATCATTACAGTAGTTTTTGTCATACATTGAAATGAATTAGCTATGGATTTACATATGTTTTTAATGGAGATGTAATTTACATACAGGGAGATACACAGGTCTTTAGTTCTTTCTATTTTTGCTTCATGTGTTTACAAGCTCTGTTATTAGATGCATACACATTTGGGGATTGTTCTGTCTTCTTGATTAATTGACTCTCCTCATATGAAAATTCTCTCCTTTCCTCTAGCTGTATTCCTTGTCTTGAATCTACTTCATCTGATATTAATATATTGTTTCTTTTAATTAGTGCATCTTTTCACTTTTAACTTATCTGTGTTTTTATTTGTTTTATTTTAAAAGTTTTCCCAGATTCATCAAATTTTAATATTTTGCAGAATCTGCCTACCCCTCTCTAGTTATATCCATTTTGGGGGACTCTTGGAGAGTAGATTACATTCTTCATCCCTTTGATGTTTCAGTATGCATTTCATAAGAACAGGAATATCCTCTTATGACACCCTAAAAGGGTTAGCACTTAGAATCTTTAACACTAAAATACAATATTTTAATCTAACCTACAGTCATTAGTTTAATTGTCCCAGATCTTAAAAAAAATTTTTTTTGGTGTATTGTTGAGTTATAAAGCGTTACTTTCTGCTTGCTGTAAGGCAAAGTGGATCCGTTACACATACACATATATCCACTCTTTTTTAGATTCTTTTCCCATATAGATCATTACAGAACTTGGCAGAGATCTCTGTGCTGTACAGTAGGTCCTTTTTAGTTTTGTATATATATAGTTAACATGTATAAAAATAAATTCAAAAATAGAACAAAAGTTTTATATATAATTAAACTCTCTCTATATATAAAACTAAACTATATATATATATTAAGTTTATATATATAGTTGTGTGTATAAGTCAATCTCAATTTCCCAATTTATCCCTCCTCTTTTTGTGTTCTTATAAACTGTGTCTTATTATAAAAGGATATAAGTGGGTCTTGCTTTTTGATTGTCAGACAATTTCTTTTAGTTGAAGTGTTTAGTTCATTTACATTTAATATAATTATTGATTTGGTTGGATTGCAAGTACCATTTTGCTATTTGATAACTATTTTTTCCCACTATGTGTTTTTAAAATTATCTTTTTTTCTTTTCAGCTTTTTTTGAGAATTTTAGTATCCTATTTTTACCTCATCTACTAGTTTTTTAAAAAATCTACATCTCTTGTTAAAGGATTGTTCTATGAATTGCAGTATAAGAATGTAAGAATCCTACAACGGTAGATTTTAATTTCCTCCTTCTTTTGTTCTACTTTTGACATTTATTTTTATTTTTACATATGTTAACTCCCACAATATAGTATTATTAGTTTTTGGTCTAAATAGTCATTTTTCTTTTAAAAAGATTAAGAATTGAGAAAAGTTTTTAGCACTGACTCTTGTTTATTACTATTTCCGGTTCACTTTATTCCTTGATGGGGATCTTAGTTTTCATCTGGTGTTGTTTCTCTTTAGCCTAAAGAACTTCCTTTAGCATTTCTTATAGTGCAGATGAATTCTCTCAGCTTTGGCTTATTTACAACTGTCTCTATTTCATCTTAATTCTTGAAAAGTTTTTTTCTGAATACAGACTTTTAGGGTGATGGATTATTTTTCTTCTAGCACTTTTAAGTTCTCCTTGCCTTCCAGCTTGTCTAGTGGTAAATCTAGTGATGATAAGTCTTATATTTTTATCTTCATTCTCCTCTCTGTAGGCATTTTTTTGTGAGAAGGGAGCTGCTTTTCTTTTTCTCTTTGTTTTTCAGAAATTTTGTTTTGTGCCTTGATGGTGTTCTTATTGATGTGTGTTTATATTGCTTGGAATTTGTTGAACTTCTTGGATTTGTGGGCAGACATATTCATGACATTTGAAACATTTTCAACGTTTTCAAAAATTAATATACTTTCTAGAGCAATTTTAGGTTCACAGCAAACTTGAGCAGAAAGTACAGAATTTCCATATATCCCCTCCCATCATACACACACAGTCTCCTCTGCCATCAGCATTCTGCATCAGTGTGGTTTATTATAATTAATGACCAACACTAACACTCTCTGACATAAATCGCAGCAAGATCTTTTTTGACCCACCTCCTAGAGTAATGAAAATAGAAACAAAAATAAACAAATGGGACCTAATTAAACTCAAAAGTTTTTGCACAGCAAAGGAAATCATAAACAAAATGAATAAAAAAAACCCCACAGAATGGGAGAAGATATTTGCAAACAAAGCAACTGACATGGGATTAATCTTCAAAATATACAAGCAACTCATGTAGCTCAACAACCAAAAAGCAAACAACCCAATCAAAATATGGGCTGAAATCCTCAATAGCCATTTCTCTAGAGAAGACACACGGATGGCCAAAACACAGGAAAAGATGCTCAGCATCACTAATTATTAGAGAAATACAAGTTGAAACTACAATGAGGAATCACCTCACACTGGTCAGAATGGCTACCATCAAAAAAATATACAAACAATAAATGCTGGAGAGGATGTGGAGAAAAGGTAACCTCCCCCCACATTGGTGGGAATGTAAACTGGTAAAGCCACTATGGAGAGGTTCCTTTAAGGAACCTCTTTCAAAAACTAAAAATAGAGCTATTGTATGATCCAGCAAGTCCATTCCTGGGCATATACTCAGAGAAAACCATAGTTTAAGATTGCTCTATTTGTTTGCTTGTTGTTCAGTCGCTAAGTCGCATCTGACTTTTTGTGACCCCATGGACTGTAGCACTCCAGGCTCCTCTGTCTTCCACTGTCTCCTGGAGTTTTCTCAAATTAATGTCCATTGAGTCAGTGATGTTATCTAACCATCTCGTCCTCTGCCACTCCCTTCTGCTTTTGCCTTCAATCTTTCCCAGCATCAAGGTCATTCCAATGAGTCAGTTCTTCATACCAGGTGGCTGAATTATTGGAGCTTCAGCTTCAGCATCAGTCCTTCCAATGAATATTCAGGACTGATTTCCTTTAGGATGGACTGGTTGGATCTCCTTGCAGTCCAAGGGACTCTCCAGAGTCTTCTCCAGCACCACAGTTCAAAGGCATCAATTCTTTGACACTCAGGCTTTTTTATGGTCCAGCTGTCACATTCATACATGACTACTGGAGAAACCATAGCCTTGACTGTACAAACCTTTGTCGGCAAATTGATATCTCTGCTTTTTAATATGCTATCTAGGTTTGTCATAGTTTTCCTTTCAAGGAGCAAGCGTCTTTAAATTTCATGGCTGCAGTCACCATCTGCAGAGATTTTGGAGCCCAAGAAAATAAAATCTGTCACTGCTTCCACTTTTTCCCTTTCTATTTGCCATGAAGTGATGGAACCAGATGCCATGATCTTAGTTTTTTTTTAATGTTGAGTTTCAAGCCAACTTTTTTCACTCTCCACTTTCACCCTCGTCAAGAAGCCCTTTAGTTCCTCTTCAATTTCTGCCATTAGAGTGATATCATTTGCATATCTGAGGTTGTTGATATTTCTCCCAGCAATCTTGATTCCAACTTGTGATTCATCTAGCCTGGTATTTTGTGTGATGTACTCTGCATATAAGTTAAATAAGTAGGGTGACAACATATAGCCTTATCATGCTCCTTTCCCAATTTTGAACCAAAAGATGCACACAGCCCCGTGTTCCTTGCAGCACTGTTTATAATAGCCAGGACATGGAAGCAACCTAAATGTCCATTTACAGATTAGTGGATAAAGAAGATGTGGCACATATATACAAAGGAACATTAACATATAACATATAACAAAGGAACATTACTCAGCCATAACATAGAATGGAATAATGCCATCTGCAGCAATATGGATGAACCAAGAGATTCTCAAATGAGTGAAGTCAGACAAATATTGTTTTGTATTTCTTATATGTGAAATCTAAAAAAAAGATACAAATGAACTTATTTACAAACCAGAAATAGAGTTACAGATGGAAAAACAATCATGTGGTTACTAGGGGAGAAATGGGAGAGGGATAAATTGGGAATGATATATGAACACAACTATATATAAAATACAAAAAAAACTATATATAAAATACATAACTAAAAAGGGCCTACTGTATAACACAGTACTCTCTAATGACCTTTATGGAAAAGAATCTTAAAAAGGTTGGATATATGTATGTATATAACTGATTAACTTTGCTGTCTAGCAGAAAGTAGCACAACAACGTAAATCAACTATATTTCAATAAAAATTTTTTAAAATGATGATCACTGACACAGTTTTATCAACCAAAGTCTGTGGTTTACATTATAGTTCACTGTTTGGTGTTATGTATTCTCAGTGAAAGTGTCAATCACTTAGTTGTGTTCAACTCTTTGTGACCCCGTGAACTGTAGCCTGCCAGGCTCCTCTGTCCATGGGATTCTCCAGGCAAGAATACTGGAGTGGGTTGCCATTCCCTTCTCAGGAGGAGTCTTCCCAACCCAGGGATCAAAACTGGGTCATCTGCATTGCACTTTTGACAAATGGATATGATATGTATTCACCATTACAACATTAAATAGAGTAGTTTCACTGCTCTAAAAGTCCTCTGTACTCCTTCCCTCCCCCTAATTCCCGGAAACCACTAACCTTTTTACTGTCTCCATAGTTTTGCCTTCTCCAAAATGTCATATACTAGAAATAATACAATATGTAGGCTTTGCCTTCTTTTACCAGTGAAAGAAGATTGCCTTGTTTCACTTAGCAATATGTTTTTAAAGGTTCTTACATGTCTTTTCACTGCTTGCTAACTTGTTATTTTAATTACTGAATGTTTTGTTGTTTGGGTGTATCATGGTATGTTTATTCATTCACCAATTGAAGGACATCTTGTTTGCCTTCTAACTTGGGCAATTATTAATAAAGTCAATATACACATTCATGTACAAGTTTTGGGGGGTAAATGTAAGTTTTCAACTCATTTGAGTAGATACCAAGAAATGTGATTGCTGGGTCATATGGTACAGCTATCTTTAGCTTTGAAAGTGACCGCCAAACTGTCTTCTAAAGTATCTTACCATTTTGCATTTTTACCAACAATGAGTAAGAGTTCATGTTGCTTCACAGATTTACCAGTATTTGGTATTGTCAGTGTTTTGGACTTGGTCATTCTCTATAGGTATATAGTGATATATCACTGTTGTTTTAATTTGCAATTTCCTAATGATATATAAAGCTCAACATCTCTTCATATGTTTATTTACCTTCTGTATGTCATCTTTGGTGATAATTCTGTTCAGATATTGCACATTTTAAATTGTTTTTTTGTTTGTTTTCTTATTGTTGAGTTTTAAGAGTTTTTGGTATCTTTTTTTAGCAGATATATCTTTTGTAATATTTTCTTCCAGTCTATGGCTTGTCTTTTCATTCTTGACAGTAATTATTAAAACAATTTTTTTTTCAACTCCATTCTCTCTTTTCTTTCTTGGGTTCAATTCCATCTGTATGACACTTTTGGTATTGTTCTACTTCCAGTTTTCCATTTTCTTTTTTCTGTGTACTTCAGTTTTCATGTCAAGTACTGTGTTTTCAAATTCACTGATCTTTAAAAAACTTTTCCAGTCTGTTGTTTAATTCAAGTTAATTTTTAATTCCAGATGGTGCCTTTTTCAGTTTTATTATTTTTATTTGGTTCCTTTTATAGTTTCCACTTTCTGTTGATATTTCCCATTGGTTTATTCACTACATGGTACTCCTCTTTAAATCCTTAAACCTATTTACAAAGGTTGTTTTAAAGTCCTTTACTGTGAATTCCAACACCTGTGTCACCTCTAGGTCTGTTTCTGCTGATAAAATCTCTCATGGCTATGGGTTGTATTTTCCCGCATTAAAAAAGTGTATATTGGACATTGTGGATGCTATATTGTTGCAGTCTAGATTTTTGTTGTCTTCTTTTGAAGAACATTGTGGTTTTGTTCTGGGAGGCAGCTAATGCACTGGTAAATCAGCTTGGTTCTGCCATTTCTTGGTTTTAGGTTTTGATAGGGTGAGTATAGACTAGTCCTTATGGTCTGGTCTTCCTTCAGTCTCTGCTCAATGTCTGTGGTGTTCGGTAAGCTCTCTCTACCCTGGCTGGTCAGATTCTACCGTCTTCCAGCTCCATGAGACCTCCAGAATCTCTGGCTCGCACTATGCCAGGAGCTGTTCCCTGTCAGGGAGCATAGACTCTCACTCTGCACGTACCCAGCTTTGTAACCAAAGACTCAGTAAAGCCCCTATGCAGATTCTGGTACTGTTCTGTGCCCCTTTCAACTCTCCTGTAACCTGCTCCACAGATTCCAGCTCCCCAAGCTCCTTCAAACATCATCTCTTATTTCCTCCACCCAGTAGGACGCTGCTCTCTCTCTGGGGGCCACTCTCTGTGCGGAGGTCTGGAGAGTGCCCACTGGCAGGGAGTTGGAATTGAGCTTGAATTAAACATCAAGCTCCTGTGCTTTCCTTTCTCAAGGATCACAACCAGTTAGGAGTTAGAATGGTGCAGACATAAAAGCCAGAGAAAACCATGAAGTTTTATTGCAACTCCATTTCCCTTATCTTCCCTCCACCCTAGGCTTTCCTGGGGCCATTTTCTTGCAGGTGGGGATGAAAGAGCGGAGCAGGAGGCCAATGGGGAAAAGAAGCCTGGAGAAGAAAATTGGGGTATCACATTGCTATATTTTGTTTACCTCTCCCCAGTGGAGCCCCAAAGAAGGAGGCAGCTGTGTGTTACTGAGCTCGTTGGCGAGGCAGGGAGGGAGGAGGGTGCTGGGAAGTGCAATTAGCCAACAGTTTGAGACTGATGAAGTGGATAATGAGAGGTGCTAGGACAGATTTTTGTGCTAAAAAAAGGAGACAGGGGAGAAACTGTTGCACATTAACCTGCTCAGGCCTGATCTGTCAGGAGCTGACTGCCTGCCAACAGGACAAAGACTAGAAGATTCAAAGACTAGGCCAACATTTCCCTCCCAGGCAGCCTTCCTGGGGACTCTTATCATCCCCCTTCTCATCATTAACGTCTACTGAGGTCATATGGGCCAGGTCTTACACCAAACAACTCTCATGCTTTACCTCATTCGATGTCTAAAACAACCTTATGAAGTTGATCTTATTATAACCTATTTTATAGATGAGCAGACTAAGATGCAAAGAGGTGAAGGACCTTTCGTAAGTCACATTGTTAGTAAACAGTGAAGCTGAGTCTCTCCTGTGGTCTGACACCAGAATCTGATGGATGCAGTCTTGATCTCATGGTGCAGGTATGTTTGACTCCACTGACTGACCTTGAGAGAGAAGGGACATGTCTTCCTAGCACCTACTATGTATGAGGCTCTGTGCTACATTTTGAATCAAGCAGGTTACATTTCTTCTGTTTTGTTTTTCAATTATTTCTAATAACACCCAATGAAGAAGATACTGTTTTTGCTCTAATTTTACAGAGGACGAAACTGAGTACATATTAGAAAAATAAAATATCTTGTCCCCAAAACCAAATATAGCAAGCTATGGATCAATATTAAGATATATTAAACTTCTAGCCAACAATTATATATTGAACACTTACTGAGTACCAGGCTTTATTCTAGGTATTAGAGCAATAAATAAAACAGACAAACATCCTGTCCTCATGGAGCTTGTATTCTAGTGGGGGCAGAGAAGGAGCATTGGTAGATAGTAAACAAACCAGGTGAAGGTAAGTGATAAAGAGAAAACCAAGGCAGGGAATGAGAGGAGGGAGGGTTTGGTGTGGAGGACATAATGTTGCATAAAATGTCAGGAAGGATGTGCTGAGAATATGACTTCTTTGCAAAAACCTGAAGAAGCTGAGGAATCCAGCCCTTGGATTATGTTATGGGAGAGTATTCTAGGCTGTTAGGAACAGCAAGTGCAAGGGTCGGGAGGTACTGAGTCTCCCAACTCTATGGACAGTCTTCATGAAAGTGACTGTGTAAAGGGTGTCTTCTGGGGCTGTGAAGTGAGGGGGCCTGGTGTGGGGGATAAGATAAGTGTGGCAGGAGCAGTGATAGAGGGGAGAGCAGGGACCAAGAGTCAGAGTGGTAATGCGGCTGAGTGTGTGGGGCTCTTTGCCCATCATATGGACAGAAAGTCTCCTCTGATGGGAACAGAGAAGGGGGTGGAGCAATGGTCCCCAAAGTGATGATCAGTCGCTTTGATAGCCTCCAATTTGCCCCTGAGTTTTGCCCCTGCCACCTCAATGCCTCCTGCCCTCTGGTTGAGTGATCCCACTTTAAATGCCAGAATGCCACCAGCTCTCTCCCTTTGCCCAGGTGAGATCCTGGCACTGTGAAAAGAACTCACCCAGTATGTGAGAGAAGAGGGAACCTTGACTGTGCAGGCACCTGCCTCTGGGCCTGGGAGGCCGCCGGAGAAGCCCCCACCTCTGAGTGATTTAAGGCTTGAGTGAGGTGATGCCCACATGGGGCAGAGATGGGGGGTCATCCTCCCACCTTACACAAGGGCTGGCCCTGTGACACACAGCATGTGCGTGCTAAGTCACTCCAGTTGTGTCTGACTCTTTGTGACCCTATGGACTGTAGCTCACCAGGCTCTTCTGTCCATGGGGATTATCCAGGCAAGAATACTGGAGTGGGTTGCCATTCCCTCCTCCAGGGGATCTTCCCAACCCAGGGATCGAACCTGGGTTTCCTGCACTGCAGGCGGATTCTTTACCAGCTGAGCTTCCAGGGAAGCCCACAGATCCCACTACTCAGCCCTCAAATCGTCCATACAGTTTATCTAGGCCAGAGGTTGGCAAGTTTTTTCTGATAAAGGGCCAAATAGTAAATATTTCAGGCTTTTCATTCCTTTCGGTCTCTGTTGTAGGTATTCAGCTCTGCCGTTGCAGCATGAAACCAGCCATAGACGATATGTATTATAAATGAATAGGTGTGGCCGCGTTCCAATACAACTTCGTTTACTAAACAGGTGATGGTGTGGATTTGGCCTATGGGCCGTAATTTGCCAGCCCCTAATCTATATCAACCCCTTCACTTATCAAAAAGAAGAGAAAGAAGCCCAGAGTCAACAAGTCACCCATCCTGGGGTGGCTACATCACTCATGGACTGAGGAAGGGCAGACAGGCAGGAAGCCTGATTCTCCAGATTCTTCCCTGAATTATTCTCTTATTGTTCCACGTGGGTTAGCTTTCTCTCCCCGGTTGGTTTGTCAGTTGCACACATGTTAGTTACTCATTAAATATTCATTTGATTGGCTTCATATAACAATACATCTTTGACAATACATATAACAATACGTCTCTTGGAAGCTTCTGCGTCTATCCTTTGCAGAGAGCTGTGAGATCAGAGAAAGGAACCATGAGCTGGTTCAAAGTTTCCAAGTGATGAGCTTCCCTGGTGGTCCAGTGGTTAAGAATCTGCCTGCAAAAGCAGGGGACATGGGTTTGGTTCCTGGTCCAAGAAGATACCACACCCTGTGGGGCAACTGAGCCCCTGGGCCACAACTACTGAGCCCGTGTGCTACAACTACTGAAGCCCACAGGCCTAGACCCTGTGCTCCGCAACAAGAGAAGCCACTGCAAAGAGAAGCACGTAACCCCCACTTGCTGCAACTAGACAAGGCCCTATGCAGTGATGAAGACCCAGTGCAGCCAGAAATAAATTAAAATAAATAAAATACCAAAACAAAACAAAAACCACCCTAAAATCTTAAAACAAAACAAAAGCAGTGTCTCCAGGTGAGTCAAGAGTTCCTTATTCCCAGCCCTGGAGGACATTGTCAGAGTGATAAGGACAGTCTTGGTGCACCAGTGAGGCAAGGCTCTGCAACTGTGAAATTCTGCCTTTGGTTTCTCCAAGAAAACAATCCTTTAAAAAGAAATCTCGTCTATTAATGTGATTATTAATCTGGAAAAAACCCCACTTCTCAATAAAATGAATCTATGACAAGACAGATGTAATAAACCTGGTTAGGATTTATGATGTGCCCAGGCAGCGTTTTGCAAAAGATAATGTTCCTCTGTAATGTTGATTTGCCGGATGAGAACCATGTAATTTATTCTGTCAATGTACATAAGAAATGTTATCTGTGTGCAGAATGACTGATGCCCTCATGAAAGCTGGCAGGGAAACAAATAAAACAATTTGGGCCTTAAAAATATAATCACCTAATGATCGTGTCCTGGCGCTTGTGACGGGGAGAGCAGGATTGGGAGCTGTGGCTGCCATGAATTCACTTTCTGGAGTTGGGGCCACTTCCCTTTGAGCTTGGCACCAGAGGGCAGCAGGGAGCCCTGAGAAGCTCTCTTGGCAATCCAGGTTCCTCCCTCTGGGCCTTTGCCCAGACTGTTCCCGCTTCCCAGCTGTTCATGCACGTGTCCTTCAAGGCCTGGCTAAGACGGTCTCTCCTCTATGGTGAGCTTCAGTGCCTGGGGCTCTGCTAACACACATGCTGGCAACAACAGGGATTTTCCCTTCACGGGACTCTTGATGTCACCTTCTGGGCCTCTTTTAGGCCACTCAGCATTTGCTCCCTTGGAATTCAGTGATTGATGTCATCTCCTCTTTGAGACTGAAGCCTGTCTTGATTTAGCATCCTGGTTGGCAGGATCATTTCGTGAATGCTCACGAGAGTGTGCTGAGTAAATTAATATTCAGAGGTAGAGCTATCATATGTTGAACAGTTTGATTGTGTCAGGGACTTTACAATGTGGTTACATGAGGGAACCACCCTAGGAGGTGGGAGCCATCATTGTTCCTTTTGTATGCAGTGGGGACTGGAGCCCAGAGGACTTCTGATGTGTCCAAGGTCATATACATCTAGCAGAGGATCCAGGTTCCAAACCCAGACTGCAGTGTCTACCGTGATTGGATATGAACTCCTACTTCATTGACCCCTCTGTACTGATCACCCACCTCTTGAGACTCTTTCCTCCTTTGGTTTCCACACACTGTATCACTTGGTTTCCCTGCCACTGTTCTGATAACTCTCTAGGGGATGCCTTCTTTGCAGCTCCCTGGGGCATTGGTTGAAAAGTCCATGGGTGGGGCCAGCAAAGGTTATGGAAAAGGAACAACAGGGATGTGTCTGAGCCAAGGCCACAGGGAGGCATAGGCCAGAAGGACATAAGGTTCTGGTCTGGACAGCATGCAGCTTTGAGGCGAGACTAGAGGGTAGGACTGGGGCCTGGACAAGGCCTCAAACTAGATCAGGGCCAGGTGGGAAGTAACTGGGCATCAAGGGGCGGTCCTGAGGAGGATGCAATGTCAGCTGTGGGGCAGGGAAGCCTACATCCCAGGCCTAGAAGTCTTGAAGCGGAGCTTGATATGGAGGGCAGTTTCGACAGGCAGGCTCAATGGCACCAAGACTGGGCCACTAGGCCTTGAATCTGGGGAATGTTACTGGATCATTTGGTGGAACAGTGAGAAACAGTATTCATCCTGCATGGTTTGAATGAAGAGATTCTAATGAATGGATTACTCATAGAGGTATGGGCAGAATGACAGGAATCAACAAGGGGCCACCCAGAGAGACACACAGCAGAGAGTTTGTACTACCCTTATAGCCAAAGAGACAAAAGAAGGAGGCTTCTCTGCTGGCTCAGAAGGTAAAGAATCTGCCTGCAAGGCAGGAAACTCGGGTTCAATCCCTGGGTCAGGAAGATCCCCTGGAGAAGAGAAAGGTATCCACTCCGGTATTCTTGCCTGGAGAGTTCCATGGACAGAGGAGCCTGCTGGGCTACAGTCCATGGGGTCTCAAAGAGGTGGACACGACTGGGCAACTAACACACACAAGGTTACTGGGGTCCAGAGAGAGTTGGAGCTGGTGGGGGAGGGTCATAGCTGTTGAGAGCTGTTCGTCACAGAGGGATGTAGCTACTGCCAGAAACATGGCACCAAAGCAGGAATGAGTGGAGAGGAAATGACTCAACCTCTCTCTCCTCCTACCCTGCAGTGACCCCAATTGCTTGGATTTGGCATCAAGGTCAGATTCCTAGGTCATGGAGCAGGTTAGAAAAGGAAGTAGAGTTGATCTGCGGGACTGGCCAGCACAGTGACTCATTGTTGACTCTCCCCAGCTGGGTACCAAGGGTGTATCTGGAGCTTATGGTGCAGAAATGACTCATGGGCTGGGTGGTCTACAGGTGGGACCATGAGAAGATGTAGGTTTGGGATCTGGGGAGGCAGAGGAAGGAAGGGAGAGGAGGAAGATGGGCAGTCCCCCAGGGAGATGGAAGCCTCCCTACTTGGCCCCTTTGTCTTTATCTTGCTTTAATTTCAAGCAAGGATGGAGCATGGAGTTTGGGGCGCAACGAGGCTGAGACCATGACTCTAGACTTAGTTTTACTAAAGATAGAATGGGGGCATTAGATCAAAGCAGCAGTTCTCAAATGGTGTTCCAAGGAGCTCCAGAGTTTAGTGGAGATGTCTCAGCGATTGGTGGGTAAGTGAAGGGAAGGGCCAAGAGAGTTGGCTAAAGAACCCCTAACCAATGCTAATCCTGCTAGTTGACTAAAACAGAAAATCTTTCTTGCATTTGACTTCAGTAGAGCAGTTTAGATGAGCTGGACTTGAAGCACTTCATCCTGGATCTGGATAATGCCAAGGAAAGAGGTGAGGTCATTATAAAAGCTTTTGGTAAGCCTAGAATGTGGTCCATGATGTAAGAGGCAAGATATTGGAAGGCAGGTAGGGTGAGTCCCAGGCATGACCTAGAAGATGCTATGAACCAAACTGGAGAGCCAGCAGGGAGAGAGAGGATATTCAAGGGTCATTCTGAAAGTGAAAAAGTGAAAGTGAAAGTAGTTGCTCAGTCGTGTCTGACTCTGCGACTTCATAGACAGTCCATGGAATTCTAGGCCAGAATACTGGAGTGGGTAGACTTTCCCTTCTCCAGGGGATCTTCCCAACCCAGGGATCGAACCCAGGTCTCCCTCACTGCAGGCGGATTCTTTATCAGCTGAGCCACAGTCATTCTATGGGGAGAGAGTACAGGAAACTTATCCAAAGAAGTGTATTACTCTGAGAATCTCCTGGCTGAACCCTAAGTTTGCTTGTCATATGTGGTTGTTTCTTTAGGCACAGATATAAATGTCTCCAAGGTGGGTGGAGAGTGACAGTTCTAACTAAGTTCTTTGATGCATAGAGATGCTGACTCTCAGGGAGGCCACCTGACAGCCAGCAGAGTTTCCCAGGCCTTCTTAGTGCTTCCCTGGTCCTGAATAAGGCCCTGTTCAGATTTCCCCCAGTGGCTGAAATCTCTTGCTCTCTGTGTTTGAGTCCTGAGCAGCCTAACGCAGCAACTGTGGCTTTTGCCAACCTGGGTCTGACTTCCACTTCTTGGGTTTTCTCTTTTTACTTATTCTGTAAGTGTCCCTGTGTCAGTATCCCACAGGGCTGACATCTTCCCTGGGGTTCTGCACTGAGCAACACTCACCCAGTTTAAAAGATCCCACCTCTGACTTTAGGTCTCAAGCCTCCTTTCCACCCCCCCACCCCTACCCCCCCTCGCCCCCCACCACGCAAGTCTTCCCTGTTCAACCTGCCAAGACCCATGAGGTTCTAAGCACAAGCTCCTAGTCATAACCACAAGGGATCTGCTTTTTGCTGCAATGTGCATGGAAAGAACAAATTGAAGAAGTATTAACAACTTTGCATGTACAAGTTAGTTTAATTTGCTTGAATGTGGCTTACAATGATAACAGGGGCTAACACTGCTGGATCAATTACAATGTGCCAAATACTGTGCTAGGTTCTTCACACACACCATTTCAGCCCTCTGAGATTGTGTTTTTATTATCCTCAATTACACACATGAAGAAACTGAGGCTCAGAGAGGAAGTACCTTGCCCAAGATCACACAGCTGAGAAGTGATGGAGCCTGGGAGTTCCTATTAGAGTCTGTGTGCTGAACAACTCTGCTAGTTATTGTTTGGGTTTGGGGAGAGAAATGAACAAACCCTTCAAACCTTCGAGAGGGCCCTTTTCAGCCACAAATTGAGCAAATGATACAAAACTGCGACAAGCAACGCAGAAAGGCTGATCAATAAAGCACCATCTCCAAGAAGCAGAGCAATTAGGTGAGGAAATGGAATAGCTTTCCTGTCTATAAAATAATGGGCTCATATTAATTTTAAAATATTTTCACTTCATTGTCTATGATAAGAAATTCAACTTTGATTCCTTCTACTTGGATCCCTCCTCCTCGTCCCCTTGCATGGCTGGCCTTTTCTCATCCTTCAGGTCTCAGTTTGAATGTCCCTCCTCAAAGGAAACTATGATCCTCCAAACATAGAGTAGGTCAAACCCAAGGTTCACTGCTGGCCCTCTGTTCCATCATAGCAATTCTTTGCATGGCCATCATGTACAATTATGTGTGTGTGTGTGTGTGTGTGTGTGTGTGTGTGAAGTTGTTCTATCCCCTCTAATAGACTCTAACTTGGTGAGGCTAAGGACTATATTTGGTACATTCACCCTGTAGACCCTGCACCCAACAACATGTCATTTATGCAGCAGGTACCGAGCTAGCATTTGTTCAAAAGATAGATGAGTAAGTGTGGAATATTCTTATTTACAAGAGTTCAGAAATCTATTTTTATGTTCTCTGATCTTATTTAGTAACAAATCACTTAAGAGCAGTTTGATATTCATTGCAATATAAACTGGGAAATCATGTAAATATGGTTATCATTTTCTGGTTATCAGTGATGTCTCTGCATTCTTGGAAGGGGGGAGAAACAGTAAGAGAAAGAGCAATGCACAGTGAGTTGGATGATCTGGGCATGAGCCTTGGTTTTGCTGTTACTAGCTGTGTGACCTTGGGTATGACCTTTTCCCTTTCTGATCCTGAGCTTCCTCAGCTGTAAAATGAGCTTGGACTGGCAACTCTCTAAGGATTCTTTCAGCTGTAAAAGTTTAAACTCTGAAAATTACATAAATTGAACTTGTGTATGGCTGAAATGATTGGACTGGGGGCATCAAAGCATGTTTTGGGCAATGCTAGAGCTGAAATGGCATTTTATTGGGGTCCAGTCTCAACCTAAAGTCCAGGTGACTTCTTGTGCAGCCTCCCAGTCCTCTCTGCATGGTGCTGGGAGCCATGGAGGAGAGCAGAGCTACCCCCCTTTCCTTTCAGATGGGGCTCATCCTTTGTCTGCCCCATCCCCAGAAGTCCTGCAAAGCCTGGGAAGAAAGAAGCTGCAAAAAAAGAATAATAATTTCCCCCTTTTCATCCTCCACTGCCATTTTCTCATCCTCAGATCACAGAGCATCCAACTGCTACTCAGCGGCAGGGCTGGAACAGGAGTCAGAGAAGATGCGACTGAGTTTCCAGGCTCTGTGGCCCGAGGAGCCTGGAGGTGCCTGCAGGTCACGGGGTCTGCCTGGACCAGTGCGCAATGCCTATTAATCGGTACTTAAGTGGATTCATCAGTGTGGAGCGGCGGCGGCGGCTGCTGAGCTCAGCCCAGGCCCAAAGAGCCGGGAGCTGGGTTAATAACACCTTATTTAGCAGAAAATTCCACTCCACTGGAGCATGTTTCAGAGGAGTTTGATTTGAATGAGGATTGATGTCAATCCTGCAAGGCAAAGGCGCCTGAAGCTGCTGCCACATCCACCGCTTGTAAAACAAGCCTTTTGTGATGACCGAGGGGTGCATGCAGAACACTGCAGCGTTCCACGCACCTCCGCCCCCACCCAGGCCAGGCAGCTGCAGGCTTGTCCACCCCAGGTGGGCAGGATGGACAGTCCTTAGAGAACCAGCCAGTGGAAACCCTGTCGCACTGGGGATTCCTGGGCTTTGGAGCCAGTAGACCAGGATTCAAATTTGGAACTGCCAGTTCTTAGCTGGGTGATCTTGGGCAACTTGTGTAACCTCTCATAGTCTTGGTAGACTAATGCCTACCACAGAGATGTTGATACCCACCTTGGAGAGTTGATGTGAGGATTCAGGAATGAGGGTGCCATGGGTTAGAGACGTAACACATTTCCTGCCAAAGAGGTGGCCCTAAGCCACTAGAGACTCCATCTGACTCCTGTCTCAGGATGAGGTGGGGATGTCAGGGGTGGGAGAAGGCGTATGGGTTGGGTCCAGTAGAGAGTTTGGGAGGGGCTCTTATGGTTTCACTGTGACTCACCTCTAAGGCTTTTGCTCCAGCCCCTGGTGAAGAATCAGACATTGTCTGCCTTCAGCACCAAAAAGTATGGCTGGCAGGGCCTGGGGCCTCCAGGGCCAAGGCTATCCCCAGGATCCGGGTTAGAAACAGTACATTCAGGTGGCTGGTTGATCTGTCTGATGAAGGATGATAGGAAATAAAATATCTTTTTTCCCTTCAGTTTTAAAATCCTCTGCTCAGGGTGCTCAGGGCTGGTGCACTGGGACAACCCTGAGGGATGGGATGGGGAGGGAGGTGGGAGGGGGGTTCAGGATGGGGAACACATGTCCATCCATGGCTGGTTCATGTCAATGTATGGCAAAAACCACTACAATATTGTAAAGCAATTAGCCTCCAATTAAAATAAATAAAATTTTAAAAAGTGCTCTTGCGGTGATTTTCAGCTTGCACAATTGCATATGCTGTGTGCTGTTAGAGAAAGGCCTAGAGGGTGAATGCAGAGGCCTGTGTCCTAACCTTTTCTGAGGCCTTGGACCCTCCTCTCTCACTGGCCTTCGGGACCCCACCAAAGACAGAAAGCTATGATCTCTAACAACTGCAACATTTCCAGATTTTGAATCCGAGCAGGGAAGACGTTCTGCAGCACTGTCTTCACAGGCCTGGCCAGAGCCACCGTCCCTTCTTCAAGGCAGGAATCAAGAGCCAAGGCCACATGATTTGCAGCCGCAGAGGGCGCTGAGAGTGGGCTTCATTGTGTCTCTACTGAAGGACTTGGTGAGAGCCTCTGAATGGGGCCTGGAGCAGTTTTCATGTTTATTTTTAAATCTCTTTGGGCTTGCTGTTCTTGGCGGTGCTGGTTTTAATTCTCCTTCTTTGGCCCTTTCATACAGGAGCTGGATGACAAGGCATGGCACGATTGTGTTTGCCCAAGTGCAGATAAGATCAGTCTTGGCAGATCTGCTGAGCCCCAGCTCCTAAAGAGAAATGGAACATAATAAACAGGTACTAGGGGGAGTAAACAGGGAGGATTAAATCTGAACAAAGGCAGGAACATCTGGGACATACAAAGGCTTGTTCGGAGAATTGCCTGGGAGAGGAAGAAATGAAGAGGAAAGCAGCCCACTTCACTCTTACCTGACTCCCCTACTGGTCTCCAGGAGCACAACGCACCTGGGGAGGGTGAGGCCTCTTGAGAAAAATCTGTGCTCCAAGAGGACCCCAGATGGCAAAACTCTGGTCAGCCCCCCACGTGTTGCTGCAGCTGAGGCCAAGGAACACGCAGGCCCCCAGCCCCTCACGTCAGCCCTCATTGTCTCCTCCCGAGAGTCACTTCCCTCTCCACTGGGGATTTCTGGAATCTCTTCTCTCAGAAAGCCTTTCTGGGCTGCCCAGAGATAAGCAGTGCTCTTCATCGCATTGCGTCTGGGCTGATTCCCTCTGGGTCTGCTTGTCTGATAGAGTGTGAGTCTCATTTCAGCTCCTGATTGGCTGATTAGACCAAGGGAAAGAAAAGAGCATTTTACATGAGTCTCTTGGACTGATCTCTGCGGCCGTAACTGGCCTCCTGCCCTGGGAATGGCAACCGTCACTCGTTCCCAGTCAGGTTCTCTTAACCAGCCCCTTGCTGCCTGTCCCATCCCTCCAATTAATTCTCAGGGCTGAGGTCAGATAGATTTTGACAAAATGAAGATCTGACCATGTTAGGCCTCCAGTTAAAACTCTTGATGAGAGAAAAGCAGGCTCAGAATGGCAGAAGAATGGCAGAGCAAGAACCTCCTCAAACATGCTCCTCCATAAAAGCAATAAGAACATGGGAAAATGCTCAAAATTAACATTTGCAGAACTCTGGAAGTTTAATCAAAGACTTGCAACAACCCAGAGTGTTTATTCAATAAAAATGATATGAATATAATCGCATCTGCAGCATTTCTAACTTGTCCTATTCCCATGCCTCTTTCCCCAGCTCTGCAGTAGCCTTGAGAACTAGCAGCATCAGAACCACAGTAGCTGTGCAAGCCAGCAGCCTAGCAGTCACTGGATGGGGAAATAGGAATTTGGAGATCCCCAAAACCTCCATCCTCGGAGAATTGTCATGATTTGACTTGTGCAGCAGTTCCCTGGAAAAGCCTTATTCGCAGGACTTGCCTTTATTTGATCTGCCTCAGAGCTTTTTCAGGGAGACCCTTTATCCGTAGAGCATTTGTCAAAAATAATAATAGGCAATTGTTTAACACCACACTTACCTGAGGTGGTGATGCCTGCTGGGCAAACAAGAACCTGGCCCAAACCTTAAATCTGGTGAATAAGATGTCCATAGAGAGCTTTGAAAAGCTCTGACAAATTCCTGAGGATTTAGAAGGCTACACACACCTGTACAGGGCTGTGTGTATCCACAGGAATGACTGAAAAAAAATCCCAGTCTCTTGCTTCTAGCTGATCTTGGGATTCTGAACAAGCAGGAATGAAGCATTCAGGCTGAGTTATAAATTGCCAGAGCCTTGAAGGTATGCACCGATACACACATAGATCCCCTCAGAAAAAGATGGGAGAAATTTTATCGGGTGAAAGCATTTAGGAAATCTCCATTCAGTCATTAGATAATCAATAAACTAACTGAACAGAGACCTCAGTGGCTGCACATGACAAAGAATATAGACTACAGAACTAGGTCAGAAAAGGCGCTAAATAAATACTAACAGCAACCTCAATAACAATCAATAATGGAAGCCCTGGGTTGGGAGGGCATCTGATTGCCAGAGTTGCCATATCATATTACTCAAAATGTTTCATTTTTAACAACAACAAAAATAAGAGACATGAAAATAAACAGGAAAGTGTGGTCCATAAACAGGAAAAAAAGCCAAGAGAAATTCTTCCTGAGGAAGTCCAGATGTTGGATTTACTAGACAAAGTCTGTTAATAATCTAATATTATAAAATGTTCAAAGAATCTAAAGGAAAACACAAAGAATTAAATGAAACTCAGAGAACAAGGTGCCACCAAATAGAGAATGTCAATAAAGAGATAGAAATTATTTAAAAAGAATCATATAGAAATTTTGGAGTGGTAAAGTGTCTGAAATGAAAAATTCACTAGACAATCTCAGCAGTGTATTTGAACTGATAGAGAAAAGATAAGGAAACTTGATGATAAGTCCATTTAGATTATCTTGTCTGAGGAACAGAAAGAAAAAGAATGAGAAAATGAATGCAGCTTCAGGGACCATTGGACACCATTGTTGTTCAGTCACTAAGTCGTGTCTGACTCTCTGCGACCCCATGGACTGCAGCATGCCAGGCCTCCCTGTCCATCAACATCTCCCAGAGTTTGCCCAAGTTCATGTCCATTGAATAGGTTAAGCATACCTATGTATATATGCATAATGAGAGTGCCAGAAGGTGAGGAGAAAGTGCAAGGGGCAAAAAGATTGTTTAAATAAACTATGTCTTTCCAAGAAATAAAAGAGGAAGAAATACTTTCCAACTCATTTTGTAAGGCCAGTATTATCCTAATACCAAAGACAGACAAAAACATTACAAGAAAACTACAGACCAAAATCCCTTGTAAACATAGACACAAAATCATCAACAAAATACCAGCAAGATGAATCAAGCAATAAATAAAAGTGATTATACATCATGAATGAGAGGATTATTCCAGGAACACAAAGTTGTTTTAATATCTGAAAATGAATCAATAAAGTATACCATATTAATACAATTTTTAAAAAACCTAATGATCACCTCAATAGATTCAGAAAAAGTATTTGACAACACACATTTTCCTTTCAGGTAAAAACACAATAAAAACGGAGTAGAAGTGATGTGTAAAGTGTAAACTGACCTCCTTTACAAGTGATGAAGGACTGATCATAAAATGATGAAAGACTGATAACTTTCCCTCTAAGACCAGGAATAAGACAAGGATGTCCACTCTCACTACTTCTATTTAACATTGTAGTGGAGGTTTTAGCTAGGACGAATAGGCCAATAAAAGAAAGACAAAGGCATTCTGACTGGAAAGGAAGAAGTAAAACTGTCTTTGCAGATGATATTGAATATAGAAAATACTAAGAAATGCACACACACAAACTCTTAGAATGGTTCTTGCATGATTGCAGAACATAAGATCAATAAATAAAAATCATTTATATTTCTATACACTATTAACAATCCAAAAATGAAACTAATAAAAATTCCAGTAACATAAACACAAAATAACAATGACATAAAATAACAAAATATTTAGGAATAAGTTTAAAGTGTAAGACTTGTACATCAAAAACTACAACTGAAAACTATTACTCAGTAACAAAAAAGCAAACAGCTCTATTCAAAAGTGAGCAGAAGACCTAACAGACATTTCTCCAAAGAATACACACAGATGGCCAGTAGGCACATGAAAAGATGCTCATCGTTGCTAAATTATTAGAGAAATGCACATCAAAACTACAGTGAGGTACCACCTTACACCAATCAGAATGGTCATCATTAAAAAGTCGACAATTAATAAATGCTGGAGAGGATGTGGAGAAAAGAGAATCCTTGTATACTACTGGTTGGATTGTAAGTTGCTGCAGCCACTGTGGAAAACAGTATGGAGGGGGCTCAGAAAGCTAAAAATAGAATTACCATATGATCCAGCAATCCCACTCCTGGGCATATATCCAGACAAAACTGTAGTTCAAAAAGATACATTCATCCCTTTGTTCATAGCAGCACTGTTCAAAATAGTCAAGATATGGAAACAACCTAAATGTCCATTGGCAGATGAATGGTTAAAGAAGATGTGGTGCATATATACACTGGGATTCTACTCAGCCATAAAAAATGAAATATTGTCATTTGCAGCAATACGGATGGATCTAGAGACTATCATAGTAAGTGATGTAAGTTAATAGAAAGACAGACACCATATACTATCATTTATGTGTGGAATCTAAAACATGACACCAGTAAACCAGTGACGTTGCTCAGTTGTATCTGACTCTTCGCGATCCCATGGACTATAGCCTACCAGGCTCCTCCATCCCTGGAATTTTCCAGGCAAGAGTACTGGAGTGGGTTGCCATTTCTTCTCCAGGGGATCTGGCCAACCTGGGGATCAAACCCAGGTCTCCCGCTTTGCAGGCAGACACTTTACCATCTGAGCTCCCAGGGAAGCCCCCAAAATATAACACAAATGAACCTATCTATGAAACAGAAACAGAACCACAGACA